AAGAAGAAATAACAAAAATTTCAATGGTATAGATATATTTCATTTGTCTTTTTTTGTTTTTTCGTTTCTTAATTTAATAGTTTTATAGACATTTCAAACAAAAAGGAACGGGAAAAAGTGCACATGATTTAACTAATGATTCAACATTAAGTAAAAATACAGTTGTATTAAATGAAAATAATGAAGAAAGTGATGAAGAATTACTTATAGAAAAACAAAATTTTAAAATAAAAGAAAAAAGTGATGCAGATTTTGATAAAGAAGAACTTGACAGAGTACGACAAAAATTTAATGCAAAAAAATTAGCTCAACAAGAAAAGAAAAAAACACTTCAACTTGATATTGATGATGATGATGATAATCAAAAAGATATTTCAACAACAAAATCGTAAATATAAAATACAACAAAAATGCTTTGATTGATTTAGTATTGTCTTTTTTTTTTGATAGAAATGAAAATGTTAAACTTGAAATTGAACGATTAAAAAAAGAATTATAACAAACAAAAAAGTCATCATCAGCATCCACACCCAAATCATCAGAAAATGTCGTTCAAGTAGAAACAGAACGTAAGTATTGTTTAATGATATTTAGTATATCCTAAGAATTCCAGTTTGAACGGATACATCCATTCGAAAGTATTGAACTGTTTTCGGTCTTACCAAGATCTATTCCATATTTCAAGGATACATGAGGATATTCATCCTATTTTTAACTGACAATCATATTTTATGAGTTTATTTCAAATTTAGCTGCACCTGTATCTATTCAATCAGATATCTCAAGTACCACTACATTAATGGATGAATTAATGGCAGGTACAAGACGAAACAATAAAAAACATCATAGTAGTCATTCAAATTCAAGAGAATCTCAAGTTTGTTCATCAATTTTTTTTTTGTACTGAATAAAACATTTGAATTTAATTTTTAGACACTTGATTTATTAGAAAGATTTCGTGTAAAAGTTCATACTGCTAAAGATGAACAAATTAATGAACCTTTAAATGAAACACAATCCGAACAAATAGCTGATAAAGTTCAAACACCATTTTTAAAACATACTTTTGTATCTCAAGAATTATTAGATAATGTTCAAGATATTTATACAAATGCTGAATTATTAACTGTTTATGATCCAAGAAATCCAATGACTAAACGACGACGAGATGAAAGTAGTATGTTACTTCATCAAAAAAAACATAAAGAACGTACATAAAACAATGTTGTTGTTGTTTTGTTCATTTGTGTATTATGTAATTTCTTTTCTTGATGATATAAAATAAATTGTTCCATAAAAAATAACATAAAAAGAAAGAAATTATTTTTCTTTATTCTATTCAGATAAATAATGCAACATTCATGTTCACATACATGTCAACATGTTGATGAAACAAATGTTGGTCAATGGAATTTATATACAAAAATTGATAAATATAATTTACAATGTTATAATGAAAAACATAATGGTTCAGGTAAAGATGTATTTCGAGCATGGGAAGAACGACTTGATCGATCAAAAGTATATTTTGTATTTGATTTAATTAAATAAAATATTATAGATAGGTTTTTTTTGTTTTTGAAAGGTAGTTGAAAGTGATGATGAACAAGAATTTCTTTTCAGTATACCATTTAATGGTGCTCTAAAAATAACTGGTCTATGTGTTATTGGTGAAAATGATCCATCACATCCAAATACAGTTAAATTGTATATGGATAAATTATTTCAATAAAGTAGGAGTTATGATTTATATATATATATATATGAATAGATGGAGTAATTTACCTGAATTACGTTTTGATAATGCACATGGAAAAGCTCATCAAGAAATTTCACTTACATATGATCCATCCGGTACATTAGCTTATCAAGTCAAGTAAATATCTTGATTTTTTGAAAAAATTTTTAATCAAATATCTATTTTAGTCCATCACATTTTTCACGTGTAACACATTTATCTTTATATTTTCCTTCGAATTTCGGTGGTGAAACAACTCGTATTTATTATATTGGTCTTCGTGGTGAATATCTTGGTGTAAGTGAATGTTATATTTCAATATGATTCTGTATGATTTTTTTCATGTATAGGAAGTCAAATCTAAAGTAGTCATTACAACGTATGAAGCTAGACCACAATTAAAAGATCACAAAGTGGATGATTTTTTAACAGGCAATCGTGAAATACAATAAACTGATACTATTGTTTTTTTTATGTAAAATGTGCAAAAAATCTTTCTAAAATAAATTTTCATCTTGATTGAATTTGTTGTATTTTATCTCAAATGATTCTTAGAACTAATGGTAAGGATATAACCTACTTTCTACAGAAATCCGTCTAAAAAATGGACAGTAGTTTTCAA